ACCGAAGTTGTGCTCGAAGTGGGACCATCAGGATAAGAAAGAAAGGAAAAGCTAGAGATGCTTCTGTTGACTTCACTACCCACAGCACCGCAAGACACAGGAGTTGAATTAGTGTGAAAAGATGCATTTTCATTGAATGTACCTGAAACAAAAGAGTTGTATAAACAGCCTTCCACAAAAAAATTGTATTTTTTTAAAAAAAAATAATAAAAATGAATGGCTCATAAGATCTGAACAAAAATCCAAAATGAATAAACATAAACTTACTAATGTTCTGCACAATTTATATTACTTTCATTCATATCTGTTTATCCGTTAATTTTTGCCATTAGTTTTAAAGAATGTCTTTGTGCCACCCAGAATTGAACTTCTATTTTTACAAGAGCTGACTAATTTTAACTATGTATGATGCTTACCGTTCTAACATAGGCAACCTGTGGGTGGTGTTTTACAGGCATGAAGAACAACTTCAGCCGCTCAAAGAACTGAATTCCATTTGTCGATGAAATACCCATGTAGAGGAATACTCCAAACAAAACAGACATTGGTACCAAACGAAGCAGGGGTGCCATAAGAACCGAAACACCCACAAACACAGAAACCAAGAGGGCACTTAGACGTTGCTCTGGAAACACATACAATCTATTACTTTACAAGATGATATCAGTGACAGCACTAGATATTTTATACATACTGTGAATTATTTAACAAAGAGATGACAGAACTAAGGCGAGAATTTTGTCAGTGTGATAAGCTATTAAAACAGTTAAGCATATTTTCAAAATGCTTCTATAATATAATAAACAAAGCACTTCAAATATAAAACCAAAGCATAAAAGTAACGATGACCTCTTAAAAATAGCAGTGTTCAAGTAATTACTTACTAACAGTGTGTGCTCTGATAGGCACAATTCTCACTGCAGTTATAAATGTCTGAAAATATAGAATCTTTAATCACAACTATGTTCAGAAGCAGGTGGCTTTTCTCTTCTCTCATCTTTGACAAAGACAACATTTTGTGAATAAAATTAAAATCAACCCTCCATCAAGATTCAGAGCCTACACTTAATGAAAAAATGTTTGAATCTGTCTAAAGATACTAAGGCTTTAAATAATGTACAAATATACAAATGCTTTACTAAGCACCACCACCATACAGATGTATGGGGGAGTGGAGGTATATTCCATGCTTTCTTATCATGGAACTAGTTAGGTGGTTGGCTCCATGCTCAAAACACTTTACCCCTGGGAAAACAAGTCTCCAGAAACCAGAACCAG